TGACTTCAAAATGTCATCGAAGGTACAGGATTTTTTGCAATTTTAATTTTTCTTAGCTTCATTTTCTTAGTGCGGAAATACCACTTGTGTTGGCATCATGAACAAAATTTACCGTCAATAAAAATGACCTTTACTTATGTGTAAAAACAAATTTACCAATTATGAATAGAATTATTTTAAATAAATAAAGAATTATCTCTTTTGTTTAAATTTGCATTTAATTTTATACAGGGTGCGTGGCCAAATTATTCAACAAAAAATATGCACCTCTAAAGCACTTTTCAAACACTAAAATAATATTTTGAAGCACTTAAAAAAATATCATAATTAAGTAGATTTGGAAAGTTTTTGGCAATTGACGGTTTTATCTGGTTTTAAGTATCATGTCAAAAAAAAAAAAATCTTTTGACATTGTTTTTGACAATCGTCAAAATTTTTGAATCATGTAAATCGAATGGCGTTTTCATACGCTACGGACTGACGATGAACCGAAATAGATTGGGGTTGAATTAATTGTGAAAACCTTGAATAGAACTTTGTGATCAGGGTCTTTCTGCATAATTCGTAGCGAAAATCGAGATGGTAAGGAAAAAATCTCAATTTGGAAAAGGGAAATTTAGGCACTATTTAAAAACACCCAATGAAAAAAGCTCCTTTAGGGGCTTTTAAAAAACAAAAATTGAAAATAAGCACCTTTAAGAACTTTTTTAAAAACGCTACGCACCCTGCTATATCATAAAAATTAGTTAGCTTTAAAAAAATGAGAATATGTTTGTTTGTTTGAGATGCTTAGTTTTTTCGAAAAGAACTTTTTTTTCCACGAATTTATTAACTTTCAACTCTAGAAATAAATCATTGATAGCATCGTCTTTGGTGCCCTCTGACTGCAACATGAGGTTGTAGATCTCTTTCGGAGATCGTAGAAAAAAGCTCTCTAAATTATTTTTGAATACATTTGACTCCACTTGTTTGTATTGTTAATATTCTTCTGTGATATTTTTTCGTATCTCCTCCGTATTGCCCGGTCACTTGGGGAGGTTTTGATGATCTCTCCTAAGGTTTTCTTCCAAGTCAAATGCAAAAAATTCCGTGCCTCTGAAAGTTGTCACGAATAGAGGATATCTCCTGGTGGTTTCATTGTATATTATTTTCAAATTTTTTATTTCATTCGAATAAATATTTAATTACATTAAATTCTGGTTCAATGGCCCAAATTGAATGGGTAGTTAAATTCATATAACTACTAACGAGGTGCTTTTTTCTTCAGGCTTCTTCCTGTGTGTCTGTTTTTTTCTTTCCCAGTGCTCTTTTTTCCTGCCTGCCCAAAGAAGGCGGACCAGTTGGCCGTCGGAATTAGCGAGTTTAATATAGAATTAGATAGGCTGTATTCAGCTTTAACAGCTGTTTGTTTAGTGAATCATGTATTAAATATTGTTTATTAATGCTTAGCGAGAAGAGGAACTAATGGTTGAATGCATTTTAAGATGCAATATAATGATCAGAAAAAGAAAAACAACACAGAATGCCATATAGCCCTGATTTCAACATTGTGATAAAAAAAAGTTTAAACTAAGAAATTTTTAATTCAATTTTTGTAGGAGCACATAGAAAATACACAAAACGTCTTTAATTTTGCATCATTTCTCCCCTCATTTTTCTCTTAAAGGTGCCATAAAATTACTACTATACGTAATATTTAGTTAATTATAAACTGTTCGCATTAATTAAGAAATAGAAAACTAGACGCTGAAAACACATTGCTGACTTTAAAAAATATACCTTTGCATATTAACTCATCAAAACTTTTTTAATGATGAAACATTTCAGTGAAAATTATTTTTAAACTCTTCTCTTTTTAAAATTTTCCAAGACAAGTTTCTCACAGCTAAATTTACCCCAATAGCAAAGTCAATGCAACTTTATTGAAAGTTCATCTTTTATTGCTAATTTAAAAAAAAAAATGTACCATCGGCGAGTTTTATATTTTGCACATAGCTCAAAATGCGAATTTAAGAAGAAAGACATTGTATTTGAATCAGTTTTTGGCTTCTCTTATGTGTAGTCTTTTAATCTGAAATTTATTTAGATATTTAGAATCTGGAAACCTGGAATTATTTAGAATCTGGAATTTATTTAGATATTTGAATCCAAATAAAATGATCATGTGATGCCGTCCATTTGCATAAACCTCTGAGCACATTTTTTAAAATATTTAATAAAAAAAAAGACCTTAAAAGCCAATCAGTTGTTTTTACTAGGTTACCATGATACTATAAATGAAGTAGTGAACACTATAAATGAAGTAGTGAAATGAATGAAAATGAGTAAATTTACATATTAAGAATTAATATTTATTAAAAACCACTTCATTGCTTATAGTTCTGAACACAAAAAGATTGTCTGAAAAGTTACATATTTGAAATGTACCCAACCACCTCGACCCCAAAGTTCGGGATTTTGTCCCGTAATGATTATGCTTAATGTTTAAAGAAATAAGGAAAAGTAAGAACGAAATTCCTCATTTAAATGTTAAATTCAAGTTAAACATATGAAAGACGCATTTTTTGATGTGTCCATATTTTTTTTTAAATACGTACTTTGAGCTGCATCCATTTTCTTAAGCACGCAAATTAAGCTGATCCACATTTAAAAAAAGAAAGAAAAAAAAAAAGTCACTGACGATAATTTGTAAATGAATTCATTGTTGCAAATTATCACTGTAGCTTTGAAATGTAAGAGAATTCTGCACAATTTTATTAAAAATCAGCGGTAACTTAGAATTGACGAGTTTTTTTTAAAAAAAAAAAAAACAATCGAAGGAAGTTAAATATAATTTATAAATAAAATAACATTCTTCTACAGGTGCCTTTCAAATATATTTGAATTTTACATACGACTCTTTGTTTAATACAATATTCATAAAGACATAAAATTTACGATTATTATCTTCCATTAGAAATCAAAATGTAGTAAAACTAACAGAAAAGGTAAAGTTAACCACGAAACTATTATTTTAACATTCATCCCTTTTCAGTTAAATTCTTATTTTTCAAATGTAAAAGGAACATAAATAAGAATGGAAGTCAAATTATCGTGATTTAACGAGATAAAATAAGAGTAATAATAAAAACTACACCACAACGCGCGTTCACCTTCTAGAGGTAGAACAGTAAGGGGCAAAGCCTGAGAGTTTTAAAATAAGCACCAAAATGTAGGCAATCAAAAAGAACTAAAAGGGTCATAAATAAGCGGGAAACACAATGAGTCTTTGTGGAGGTCTTCGAAATTTATGCCTAATGCAAAGCAACAAGGCCTATGCCTATAGAACAAAAATGAATTTGAACAATAGCTTCGTATTATTCCCTCACGGTTTTTATGAAATATGGCGTTTTTCAATTTGACATTTATTTACTGGAGTTCCTGAACGCTGCTGGAGGAAAACGATCACGTCACACCACATGTTCTATTATTCAATTTATTTTTAAACTAACTATAACGCGGATTTTAGGGGTGTTTTTTTTTTCCGTCATAAATTTTGGGTGATTAACTCATGAATCGAAGTATTTGTTTTTAATCAGAATGAAATGCAAAATAAAAAGTGAACGAAAAGTTCTGTTCTATAAATTTCATGTTAATTTAACGGCAATTAAATCGTCTGCGCTGAAGCGACCGATATTTAGTTATATGATTTAGCAAAGTTTCAGAGAAATTATTTTACGTTGATGTGTTATTTATCGAAAATGGTTGTCCGAACTATCGAATTATTTTTAATGTATACATCACTTGTTAAGTTTTATTTTAAAGGAAACTTTTATTAACGTTAAAGGAAAAAAATCATTATTCCGTTCTACTTATTATTTTTCTGTAACTTATTTTTTATAATAAAAGCTCTGCTTAGTGAAAATCACTAAAGTATTTTTCAGCTATGAGTAAATATTTCAAACTAACGATAGAAAAAAAATCGCGCTAAACTTGGGGGGACAACAAAAAGAGCGCGTGATGTAAAGAAAATCATTTTTAAGATTCAAAAGCGATAAGGTTTGAAGCGATTGTTTTCGGAATGTTATTTTGCCAACAAAATCCCTCTAAGTTGCGGGGTTAAAGAGTTCTTTTTCAAGACTACATTTCATGTATCATTAAGGGAAATCACGATGTCTTGAGAATTGAGGATATAAGAAATGAGTCCACAAATCGACAGGCTATACTTAAAAGCGTTTGTTTATAAAAACTTTTCAATCGATTTTGGGAGATATATTATAAATAATTAAAATATAATTAAAAAATTGCGATTTGCGCATTAATGTAATTTTACGTTGGTTTAAAATGCACGCTTTTAAAATTTAAATAATCCTAACTGATTTGAAAGTAATGGGTTAGCTTTTATTAAATTTTAAAGACTAAAATTCATACTATGCAATATTTAACAGATTTTAAATTGTTAAAATATTGCACATTCACCTAATATCCTGCACGTTCAAGCAAGTTCTTCACGTGCTCCGTTGCAAATCCTGGTTATTCTGTACTGCATACAATCGTGAACTAGAGGGCAAATTTTTCTATTGTATGAGCACCAACAAACTTCGTGAGGATGTAAATTTGGTGAAGGATAAACTGAAAATTTCAATTTTAGAAAAATGAAGGACAATAAGTTAGAATGGAACGTAAATATGGGATTTTATATAGAAAGTGTATTATGGGATTTTATATACAAAGTACGTAATTTAGATTCACGTATTCAAAATCCTCAACTGTCTTAAATTCAGCAATTATTATAAAATTAAGGGGAAAATTAAGAATGTATAATAGCATCTCACCCAGTAATAAGATGATCTCATTTTTAAGCATTATTTATACTACCTATCCAGAGGTCAAATAAAGCATATTTAAAGCGCATTTTTTTAAAACACTTTCGACATCGGCGATGAAGATATTTTTCTATGTCAATCAGTAATAATGGCCAATACAAATTTCAAGCAATCAACACTTAGAAATAAACTTACTTTTTCCAATTCTAACAAATGGAATCTAAGCACTTGGATTGCTTGCACCATCTGAAAAAAAAAATGTCAGAAGTTTTATTTTCTTATAAAATTTAAAGCAGTTTACTGTTTTAATGCATTTCAATTCCTCAATGATATCACACTTTTAAAATGTTAAATTTTGTTGCCATTATTAATATTATTATGTACAATAATTTCAACGAAGCTACAAATAGACAATTTCTGTTTGATACTAAGGAAAAATAAGAGGATAGTAGCATAATTCATCAGCAGAAACCTATTCTCTAAGAAGGAAACGTTTCAACTAAGGGCTCTTCTTCAAAGGTTGAAATAACGCTTTATAGCCTATGATTATGCTACTTTTATAACTACTCTGAGCTTATTATTCATAGCAGTTAAGTGTTAGCCAGCAGCTTCTTTGATAATGAGGGAAACTGCACAAAATGGCCAATTGAAAAAAAAAAAAAAAAATCCACAGTTTTATAAAATTGAAAAGGGTTTGTAATCTAACATTTGTGAAAATGCTAGATTACAATTCACAATGTTTTTGAACAATGCAACGTCAGGGTGACTTTTTGCCTGTGAAGGCGAAAAGTCACCCTGACGTTGCATTGTTTAAAAACATGCAAAAATTGAAAAATGTCTACTGATTTTAATAATTTTCATCTAAAGTGAAGAAAAGTGAGGATTCAGCATATTGTGACATAAAATATGCTGAAATTAGTCAGATTAAAATGGTAATTTGTAAAATATTTTATTGTATTTTCTGAAAGGAATTCTTCATTTCTTAATTCTAGAAAAAAATAAAAAAAATATGCTTGTATAAACATATGATAAATTTTTATGAATTTAAAAAAAAAAAATTTAAAATTTCAAGAAGAAATGTGGAATGTTTTATGCAACGTTAAGTATTTTTATTTTAATGTCGCTATTCAATCAAAATGTATTGCAAAGCAACACGAAGTCATACACATGCATATTATATATATAAATGCAGATCCTTATTGCTGTTAAAAAGAAAAGATTTAAAAAAAAAAAAAAAACAAGTTCATTTAAACAAAAAAACAATAAATATAACATCACGAACTATTCATTTTTTTAATAAATTACTCCCAGAAGAAGAGAGAGGAGATTGAACCCGAATCGCCAATTTTTCATAAGAAACTGCATTCTTCTTTTAAAGCTTTAATAATGATTGAAGAAAATCACTATTTTTATTAATTTAACCCTATAAAAATAAAAATAAAAGATTAGAAATCGGAATTTAAATTTACAATTCATTCTCGCTCGTTAATCGGCTCAGTGAACAATTCTGACAACAAAATTCCAATTTGCGCAGAATTTTCAGATAATGTTGCATATAATTATGTTTGCTGTGGGAACATTGCAGTTTTATAATGACAGAAAAAAATAAGAAGCGAATACAAATGTTAAATTGTATGCTGAAAAGTATAAACGAAGACAAAAAAAAGGCTTCGTTTAAAATATTAAATTAGTTTGTTATATATGTGTGCACGCAATCTTAACAGTTAAATTTAATTTCGTGGCAAGTTATTTCGTTACATTAATTATAACTTCTTTCGGAATATTGAAGTACAAAAAAATGACCTAGATGGGATGTTATCTAATACATACGTGATTTTGTTTAAAATTTATTATTGAATCTTTGAAAAATAAATAAATAAAATTGATTGCTAAATCTAAGTCGACCTTTAATAACTGTAATTTTGACTAATTAAAACTGGAGAGAGATATGGATTCCAGTTTAAATAGTAATCCAGTTATATATTAAATTAAATTTTAATACAGTAAAATAATAAATTTCGGTAAAAAAAAAACTTGGAATTTGAGTAAATTTGGCTTAAAAAAATTTAGATTCTTCTAGTAGCAAGAACTTTAAATTGATTGCCAAATCTAAGTTGACCTTTAATAACTGTAATTTTGATTAATTAAAACTGCAGAAGGATATGGATTCCACTTTAAATAGTAGTCCAGTTATATATTAAATTTAATTTTAATGTAGTAAAATAATAAATTTCGGTAAAAAAAAAAAAGAAACTTAAATTTGAGTAAATTTAGTTTTAAAATTTGAGATTCTTCTAGTAGCAAGAACTTTAAATTGAATATTACTGATTAGGAAAACTTTATTGGTTTTAAAAGTATGCAGGTGGAAATAAAACTCGAGATGTTCCTAGCGCCCAAAAATAGGCGGACATTCTCAAGACGTGAATGAGAAAAAACAAAAGTGAATTTAAATATAAAACATAAGATTGGCAACGAAAAATGGAAAATAAAAGTGAGAAACAAAACTAGAAAAACCGCAGTTATTGAGAGTGAAACAAGGACAAAGATGGAAAAGCAGATCAAGAAAAACCACCGAGGTCGAGAGAGGCAAATCACGGTGAAATACATTTCCAAGGAATTTCAATACAATTTTATTGTACATGAAAAATTTTCGCTCAAAAATTATGAAACTTTTCAAAAATTGAAAATCATTTTGCCTGAGATAAGTATTAACAGTTATCACAGTGTAAAGAAATAAAAAAATAAAAAAATGAAGCAATATTTTGTTTAGACGCTGAAAAAAGGTACATTGAAAAAGGTCAGTTTTAGCATTATTGGTAATATGCCCTGCTGACTTCCCTTAAACTATTATTACTGCTGTTTCGAACTTAACCTCATTGCATTTAGTGTAAAAAATTGCATCAGAAATGATGCATCGCTTGCATTTATAACGTATATAATATTCCCGTCAGAAAACTCTTATTCAATTTTAATTCAATTTCCTCTCAAAAAAGGAAGCATACAGAGGAAGGGAACATAGTGTGACTTCGTCATTTAACATATCGTCACTTAATTCAGAATCACAATAAAACATTTAAAATAGATTTATCGTAAATTGCAAAATAATTGATTAGATTTAAAATACTACGAAACTTCCATCAGTACATAGAACTTAAGCAAATACAAATAAAGACTCTTGATTAAAGTTAAGAAATACGTGTCGAAAAGGGTTAATCACAAGTCTATAGTCCAACTTTGATCTTTTATGTGACCTTTCCAGAATTTAGTAATAGTTTTATGGAGCAAAAAGTTCAGTATAAAAGAACAAAAAAAAAAAAAAAAAAAAAAAAAAAAAAAAAAAAAGACAGCAAAAGCAGTAGTAGAGAGAATAGAACTGAGTCATTAGAGAGGTTCCCCAATTTCCACTATGAACATCAGCATGGGTAAGTCCTCTCCATGCCAATTAGTTTATTTGTTACTAATCAAAGCCTTTTAATTAATTTAATGTATTTGATTAAAGCATTATTAATTTAAGTATTTTAAATAGTTAAAGTATGTAAATTAATTCGACAAAATATGCATAGAATAAACGATCACTGGTTAGAATGATAAGAAGTTTGTGTCTTTAAACCACCTAACAATAGCAAAACATTTCCTAAACATTCTTATTTCATTTAAAAAAAAGTAATTAAATGTAATTTTCTGTTTATTTTCTTGCTCATTTAAATACATAAAAATGATGAACAAAAAAATTGTGATTGGTTAAATGTTAGCCATTGTTTAAATTTCACTAGAAACAATTCAAGATTTTAAAGATAACATCTGTGACATTTGCTAACGTATAACTTTATTTGATCTAGAAAAAAAAAGTTACTGTACGTGTAATAATTCAACGAACAACATTAACACGGTAGCACTTATTGACTTGACATAAAATTTGTATTAATAATTGCCATGTTCAGGATTTTTTACACTAAAAGTGGTGCACAAGATGCTCCAGTGCTGACCACCCTGCTTTAAACAATTAAACTCCCTAACGAAAAATAAAATAAATGCATTTTAAGAAAATTTGATGAAGTAACATATCTCTTTTTTTTTTTTTTTTTTTTTTTTTTTTTTTTTAGTACGGGAATTGAAGATATTGCTTTTATTTTGAAAAGAAAAAAAAAATATTTCCATTATGAAGCGTAATTTTTTGAAGAAAATAAATTTTCTGTTACAAATTGACAATAAAGCCACATTTTGTACTTCTTTTAATGTCATATCTAAAAGTTACAAGTTTTAAGCTGTGCATGTTTTTAGAATGCCATGAATAATTAAGTATATCTGCGAGGTAAATATATCTTAACTTAATATTTAGCTGCTAGAGACACAGTGTCGTTTAAAAACTTAATTTTATTTCATATTTTAAACTTTAAAATAACTCTCCAGAAAAAGGATCTGGCAACTGAATATTATTTTTTCTATAATATATATTTTATGTTATTTTTTTATTGACAATTTTTTCTTGCCATCATCATTCAACTTGTGATAATAGGAAAAGCTCATTTCGATTTAATGAAACGGATTTTTATATTTCCAAACAACAAACGTTACCAAGATAAGAGAAAACGCCAACAATGTTAGGAAATCTAATGCAAAACATAATAATAAGAAGGTTATAGCGATGTAGCGGAAGTTCGTACGGACCGGGTGAAGTTACTTCCGCTTAACTAGCTGTTTGTTTGTTTATTTAGAAAACGAGGTGAATACAAGAGTACTAAGGACAACAGGACGGAAAACACACTACAGTGCGGCTTTAAGGATAACTCCTCCAGACTAAATGTCTGGGGCAGTCTGCTACTATAGTAAAAAGCGAGAGCACATTTTTAATTGGGGTGAAATGTAGGAAAAAGGGTGTCGATTGGTTTATTCAAGACGACCTATGCTGAGATTAAGACAAAATTATTCACCCCACACCCCTATTCGAATTGTCTCTTCCTCGTAACCATAGTACCCGCCACGACGCGAGACGTTTGTCTGGAGGAGTTCTCCTGAAAGCCGCACTATATGCCAGTTTTGCTTTCACGCCTAAAGTGATTGCTGAATCTAGAAGACAGTACGCCGGATTCGCAGAAAGTACACCGAATTTTTATCTGATGCGATGTTCGTGTTGAAACTTAAACGAGCAGGTAGAAGATGCTTTCGAAAAACTCTGCAATAATTGAAGAAAAAGAAGGAAAGAATAGGGGGATGTATGGTGGTACTTACAAGGCTATCTAGTTCAGGATTGGCATCATACAATGGTCTTTCTTCCTTAATCTGAAAACGAGAAAGAGGGTAAGTGGGGATGAGGGGATAGTAGAAACATTTTTTGTACTTACAAGACTGTCCAACTCTTCGTTGGAGGTGTAGTGGATATTTTCTGCCATGATCTGAAACAGATGAACACCACCTAAGATTATCACAATCCCTGTCACAATGATTAAATTCAAATTTCTTTGTACTTCCCTAACGACACTGAGAAACGCCACTTGTTAATTACGTTGTATTTTTAATGCAATGGCTATTCCATAATCATCTGGCAAAGATGCATTATGCATTCGAAAAAGTAAACACGTTTGATGTAAACATTTAAGTAAAAAAAAAAGAAAAATGTATCAAAATCCCACGATTCATTATCGAGGGAAAACGGAGTAGCAGAAGTGGTAGAGCTACAGTGGGTTATTAGCGACAGTCTAGGAAACATCCCTGAGAATGATCAGAAGACATGCTTTCGCAATTATGATCCTCTGCAGATTGAATGGCATCCTCCACTTTGGTACCGAAGACTATCATTTTCCGGTGGAACAGATAAACTATAACAAACCCACACTGCGCACCCTCGGTCCCTGATCAAATCGATTATCCATCCGCTTGCTAACAGCAGCCAGTGATGCTTTACTTCGGTGATCAACGTGTCTAGAAATTGCTGCTGAGAAGGGATTCAAACCATCAAAATTTATTTGCCAGATGAAAAATGAAAGGCGTTTAAAATAACTGTCCTTTACAACCTTAATAGGTTAGTAAAAATTAAACATTAATTTGTATTCGCTGTGATTGAGTCGATAATGATAAGCTAGATTTTCATAACTTTCTTTCTTGAATAAAATTATACGGAGTGTTCTGTAATAACAACTTTTATCATATAATTTAAGGATATATTAGGGGTCTCAAACACGTATTTTGAGTGAGAGAAAAAATCACATTTCTAAATTAAATTTAAGGATTGAGGAAGGCGGCACTGGAAGCATCAAAACCAGTTTGATAGTCGGAGGAAACAGTTAAATCGAAAGGCGATTATTAACACTAGATTTCCCAAGGAAGTCATTTTGACTGTTTTTTAATTTCAATTAGAAAAGCAATGATGTACCTAGATAATGACACAATTTCTTAGAATTTTGTGACTTTTACAATTATTTTTATAGTTGACATTTACTAATAACTTACTATATGACTGAAAATAATATAAAAAATATTAAAAATTAATTGTTATTCAGCCTGCGTTCACTACCACCACAGACTTTGATTGAGTTTTCCTTGCTTAAATATTCGTAAATTAAATGTAATTTTATGATCTTTATATCTATGTTTTAAAATGATATTAATTCACAGAACAAACACTAAGTGTAATATTAATAGTCTCAGCAGTATAACTGCTCAGTTCCTGTCACATGTTGTTATATTACCAAAAACAATAAGATGTCAATTGGAATTGATAAGAAATATGCGTCTGATGACTCAATGCAAAGACTAATCACAATGCTTACATAAAATTGGTGTAAGACAAAAAATTGCATTGTGCTTAGAATAGTAAAAAGGCCTTTCTCTCTCGCGTGTCTTTAATTGAAAGAGCATTAATAAGTGTGGCCCAGACTGATAAGTTCAATTTTTTTGATGGAAACATGCAATTACAAGTTCAAAAAAAAAGCAAATGTGTTCTTCATCGAAAATAAAAACGGTTTCTTCCTTTCACTTTTTGAAGCATCCGGTGGTGACACCGTTAATACATAATTTGAGTATAACGTGAAGATCTTACAGATGGAAAAAAAAGAGGAAAAAAATTGAAGGCAAAAACACGCGATGAATGTCATACTCAGCGACTAATTGCCGAGCTACTTTCTCTGAAATAGAAGAATGTAATCGTTAGGGTGAATAGAATGATCTTTCTCTAAATGTTTAACCACCTTAAAAGACTTTTTTTTTTCATATTAGAATTTAAGAAACGCTTGCAGAAGTTCCAAACACAACTAAACAAGGCAGTATTTTTTTTATTTATAATTATAATAAAAAAGGAAGCAAAAAAGGCAATTGATATTCAAACATAAAATACATTAACTTTATAATACGTAAATGGTTTTTTTACCATTAATATCAATAGTTAACGATATCAGGGGTGATTGTGAGTACAACTCAAAAGTCCTGAAAATTTCTTGAATAAAATCATTAGTGACGCATTTTAAGAAATTAATGTCTTGATCAAATTAATTAAATCATTGATATTTTCACAACATGAAATTCTAAATAAATTATATGCAGCATAATTTAAACTAATAATTTTGTATAAGTTGACTTTTATCTCTAAGCACATTTATTATTCTACCAGAAAAATATTTACAAATGAAGGAGATGCCAAATATAAATTCTAGTTCTATATGTATATGATTCTAGTTCTATATGTTCTTGTATATTTCTAAATAAAATATACAAGAATTTTTACACATAAATGTGATCGATGATTTCTTGAAACTTCTGGACCTTAGATTTCTAGAAATTTCCGGTTCGCAGTAAGTAAAAAAATCCTGAAATCCAGATTTTTTCCGGGGTACAATCATCTCTGCCGATATTGATTTTTATTTAAACTAAATATTTAATCGCTATCGTAAATGAGGCGATGTTATCAGCGATAAATTACAATTTTAGAATGGATAATTTAATAGAATTAAACTTTATCGATAAATTACATAATATGAGCTTTAAAAAAAATAAGTTCGTCAGCATTGAATTAACGAAAAATATTATAAATAAATGGCGCCATATAAAATAAATAATTTACCAATAAATGGTTCGGTTAGCAGTTTTTTGTAATTTTTAAATCGAGTTTTATGTGATATAATGAGTATTTTCCCGTTCGTTTATCATAATTGTAGGCACAATTTCTTTTCATTTTGCCTGGAGAAATAGAATTTTACCTGTTTTGCAAAGCAGGCGATATCCTCATTGAAAGACTCGGAGGAACAGACGTCACCCCCAGCGATGCCTGGTTCCCTAGGGGTGCAGGTGGCCAGCTCACATTTTTCAAAGATCAAGGCTAACAGAGGAAAAAGCGGGTGTCTGAAAATGACAACAAACACAAATTTTAATATTTCCTAATAACATAGTACGCACAAAGCGCCAAAAGTGTAATAAATGTAGTACATAGTATCAGTTATTAAATAAATAGTATATTTATTAGTATATGGGTCATTCTCACAAAAACAGTCATTTTCATGTCCCCAGTATATTTTATGTCTGTTTTACAGCTTACAAGGAAAAAAAATTCAGGGAAAGTGTCCNAATAGTATCAGTTATTAAATAAATAGTATATTTATTAGTATATATTTATTCAAAAATTAAATCAAAAATAAATCTAGTTTCGAGCGAATTATTTTTTCCTTTTTAAATAATCAAAAAACTATTCGAGGAAGTATTTTATTCATATTATTCTATAATTTTCAATTGAACACACGATATTTTTGTAAATTATATTTTGTCAAGTTTTAGCTGTTGTTGTTAGTTTACGTGGCACTAGAGCTGCACAATGGGCTATTGGCGACGGTCTGGGAAACATCCCATCACAATTTTGATCCTCCACGAATGGGATGGCACCCCCGCTTCGGTAGCCCGACGACCTGCGAGCGAAGTCGAGCACTTTACGGTAGCACAGATTAACGAGTACCAACACCGCACACCCTCGGTCCCTACACAGACTGATGCAAGTGGTCACTCACCCGCGCACTGACCGCAGCCAGTGATGCTTGACTTCGGTGATCTGCTGGGAACCGTGTCTTAAAGATCAGTCCACAGCGGGACTTGTCAAGTTTTAGACTAGATTGCATTCGAAAATATAGCTCCTTAAAAATACGATTATTTCTCATTTTAAAAATTTACGAATTAATTTATTGAAGCTAATTAATGTCCCACAAATCGAACCACAAATTTTGAATATTTTTGCAATGTGAAATCGAAATTATTTGAAGCAACTACAGCTGCAACTGTACACACTACTAACCCTTTGACGCAAATGGAACACCGGTATTTCTTTTGTATATCTTTTTCCTGACCCTCTAATTACAAGCAAAAATATATTTATGTATTTTTTAATTATAAAAACAGCAATAGTTTGCTAAAAATTATCTGTTAGATTATTGGAATTGTATTTGCTCTAAAATATAAAATCTGAAAGTTTTAATTTTTTTCCTTCTTTTTCAAAAATTTATCAGTAATTTACTATAATTTTCCATAATTTTCATTTAAAAATTAAAGAAATTTCAATGATGAATAACTTTCTCTTAGATATAAATAACTGCAAATAAGTGCAAATTTGAAAAACTATTCTTTGGAAGTAAGCCGTGTTTGGAAGATTTTACTTTCAAAGCAAAAAAGACACTGGTGTTTCGTACCATATTTCATAATCATAAATCATTAAAATGCTAAATATAATATTTTTCTCTTGTCTTAACCTTAATTAACACAATAAAAAATAATTAAAAAAATTCTGAGTCAAAGGGTTAAATATTAATAATAATTAGGAAATAAGATTTAAGACACTAAGAATAAAATGAATACTATGCGTAAGTGTATAACATTGATTCTTAAACAACGTATAGAAAAAAGGAAACTTCATTAATTATCATAATTACTTACTGAGAAATAAGTAAAGGTAATTAGTGCCTACTTCTAAAAAGGTAATTAGTTAGGGAAAGGCAATTAGTACCAATTTTTCTAAGATACCGATTGTATAAATTTTATTCGAATTGAATTCAAATTGAATTCGAAAAATTCGCAAAAATTCTTATCTTTACTATTCGTTGTCCTCTCTATAATTGAACATGAATTCTAACCATTTGCAGCAATGGTGATCATAATTCATAGTAAGTTGGTAATTTAATTGCTATATTCTATTAATACCAAGATATGCGATATTTTTCGGACTTACGAATAGTAAAGTTCTGCGGTTCATAACTAAAAAGACAAATATTAAGTTCAAATATGTCATTAAAAATACAACAAGCTCATTTTTTCAAACTCATATTTAAAATTACAACGCGATTAAACTAATTTTGTCAAAATATGCTATTGCATTTAAAATAAAAATATATCCAAACAAATCAAACATGAACAATGCTGATCTGAAATTATAAAAGTACAAAGAATCTCGGGAATTTGTAGAACATTAAAAAAATAATTAATAATCTGTTGCACCGCCATATTTTTGTAGATATAGTTGTTCGGCCTACTTTCTATTGGGTGTTCTAAGTCATTTAACTTATTCTTTTAATTTATTCTCTTCACATTTAATTTATTCTTTTCACATTTAATTTATTCTTTTCATCATAAACAGAGTTAACAAAATCCTCTAAAGTTGAATGTTGTTTTTCAGTTTTATAAATTTTTCTTGTGAGTTGTTTGCGAGCTTCCTGACCGCAACCAGTAAATTATCATTATTATTTAATCACAAATATAAATTTATCGTCAATCGAAATTTCAACTACTTTCGGAACTAGTGAGCTCAAATCTTTATTAGAGCTCCGTGTCTAACAACAATGCTAGTTTCAATCGCTTCCTGGCCGCAACCAGTAAATTATCATTATTATTTTATCACAAAAATAAATTTATCGTCAATCGAAATTTCAACTACTTTCGGACTTAATTTCGGAACTCACATCTTTATTAGAGCTCCGTGTTTTACAAAAATGCTAGTCTCAATCGCTTCCTGACCGCAACCAGTAAATTATCATTATTATTTAATCACAAATATAAATTTATCGTCAATCGAAATTTCAACTACTTTCGGAACTAGTGAGCTCAAATCTTTATTAGAGCTCCGTGTCTAACAACAATGCTAGTTTCAATCACTTCCTGACCGCAACCAGTAAATTATCATTATTATTTTATCACAAATATAAATTTATCGTCAATCAAAGTTTCAACTACTTTTGGACCTAGTGAGCTCAAATCTTTATTAGATCTCCGTGTCTAACAACAATGCTGGTTTCAATCGCTTCCTGGCAGCAACCAGTAAATTATCGTTATTATTTTATCACAAATATAAATTTATCGTCAATCGAAGTTTCAACTACTTTTGAACCTTTGAACCTGGCTAACTCTATTGAAGCTTCGTATCTAATGAATCTAACAACAATGCTAGTTTCAATCGCTTTCTCAAAACTACCAGTAGAATTCATCGTCATTGTTTTATTCCTAATAAAACTTATCATCAATCGAAATTTTAACAAATTTTCGAGTAACTAGAATCGTATTTTTGATAGATTTTTTTTTTTAATTATAAGAAATTTCCTTTTAAGGAACATAAAAAATAAATAAGGAGCATAAGAAAATAATGCAAAAGCATAATTTCGGGCAAAATTTTCGAAATTAAGTTTATTATAAATTTAAAATCCATGTACTCTTAACTTTCTAAAAATACTTTACTTTTGTTTGTATTCTACTTATGTACAAAGTTATAGCTATTTTTGTGCAAGGTGATAACAGTACTAAAGATTTTAAGTGTTTAAATGCGTTCATCCCAAAATCAGATTTTTTCCACATTTTACACCACCTTAAAAACGATATCTTGTTGATATCGATATCTTAAAAACGATATCCGTTGTTTTTAAAATAATTGTCCACGATTTTTCATGAGTGCTTGTGATTTTCGGACTGCAGAATTTCATTTTTTATGCATGTTCTTTTTACAAGACAAGTGCGGATTTTTTTAAAAATTTGCTTTTTTAACTACATTAATCCCTGATTTAGTACTTGTTTTTAGGATAATTGATCAACATGTAGTTGATAACCTTCTAAATAAACTCCTCAAGGGATTTCTTGTTTTTAAGTGATGAAAATTTTTTACAGAATGCCTTATTTTTTACCTAAAAATGGCAATTTTAATAATAATTTTTTTTGCTAGTTTTATTAGTTTTTACCCATAATAAAACTAATAATTTGGTTTTTTAAAATTTTATTTAAAAAAGAGTTAAAAGCTAGTCAGGTACATTAAAGTAGAAAGCTTAAAGTTAAGATAGAAAAAGCTTCAATTTCTAAAGTTTAAAATAAACTCTTAGTATTTTAACCTTCCGAGCTTTATATTATGGCAGAAAATTAGATTCTTACTTACGTAGTTTTGACGAGATTAAACTCATAAATGCCTAAAAATAAATTTTTAAAGGAATATATTTAATCAAACTGACAATTAGTAATATTAGTTATTAATACTGAATGTTAGTTTTTCAGTTATTTTTATTATTAGATGAAAAATTATTAATTATAATTTTTATCATTTTTTGCATGTTGTAGGATATTTTTATGATACATAATTTCCATATTTTGGACATGAAACAAAATGCATTAATTTCAATAAAATATTTTTGTCCTTTAAAACTGCCCAAAAGGTTATTTGAATTGAATTTCTTACATTTCTCATATTTTTTCAAAGTAATTAAAAAATCAGCTGAATGAGGGCAAAGAAAATTATATCTTTACAAAGTTTATCGCTTTGTAAAGGCATACAAATAGAAAGAAAAAAAAATCTTAAAATATTACTTTTAAAATAATAAAATTGCACAAAATTTTGTCCTAAAATGACTTAAATAATTTCGCTGTTTCTTTTAAATCAATTGTATAAACTATTTCTTTCTTTATGTTATTAAAACCAGGCTTATATTTATATTTTAAACTAAAAACTAGACTACAAAATGGTAAATGAAGTATGGATTTACTTTTAAAAATGGAAAATTACTGTTAGAAAAATAATAACATCAAACTCCTTTAGCTATGGAAAAAAAAATGAAAGAAAAGGAAAGATGAGTAATAATTGCAAATCATAAAAGTGAAATTTGATGCAATCGTGAAAAATTAATTGCTGGGAAAAAAATATTTGGCACGTGGCGTAGTCTTAATTATTAGTGGTAATAAAACACAATAAAAACTTTTCTTTAGAAATTCATTTAACTTTTTTTATAATTGTGAAAAATTGCCACACATTTACATCTTATTGACGTTCCCGATTTGTTCTTTTTTCTACGATGCATTAAGTTATAATAGTATTCAATAAAAAATTAACAAACCGAAAAAAAGAATTGTTGAAAGTTTTTATAGTTATTCTTTTTTTTCTTTGGCTAGCACGAAAATTTTTATATGAATTTCACTCATTTTGAAATTTAAATATGATAGAATTTACATTCCATAAATTGTTAGATTCAGCTGCCATTCACATTTATTTACATACAGAATATTTATTTCCTATTCAAATAATTGTGCTTAAATATATAAAATAAGCTGCAGTTAATCTAGTAATTTATTAGATTATTGTAAGTGTATTTATAAAATAGTAAAATGGCGTTTTTTCAGTTTTTAAAAATACTTCATTTATTTTATAAGCCTTTAATTATATCATATGTTTAGCTTCTGACGGAGAGGTTTAAACAATTAATGCCTTCAAATTCACTGAAAAAACTACAGACATTGCTAGTTTTAGACGAAAAAATTATAATTGACTACAAGTTTAAATTCTAATCGTACGACCTGACGAATTTAATGCATGTCTTTGACTATGCATAAACTTTTTTTCTTGTTTTTCCTCAAAATAGAAAAAGTTAATACTTTATAAAAGGGAATATGTTTGAAACAGCTGTTATTTAAAAAAAAATAGTACTTCAATTTCTTAAAGCCTTGATTCTGGTCTATCAATACATTTTATTATTCTTAAAAGTGAAATTGAAAATGAGTGAAATTGAAATTGTGAAATTGAAATTGTGAAATTGAAATTGTGAAATTGAAAACGAGTGAAATTGAAAATGAGTGAAAATGCTCTTTTTTCGCAGTCTTTACGCTGTTCTTAAGTTTTATTTATGTAGGTGCGTACTAATTTTTGTAAAGAATTGAATGTGTGTAGCAAATTTAGTAATTTTTTTTTCGTGTGTAATAATTTATAATTTTCAGGGGTTACTCTAAATTTTAACTTATATTTTAAAGATCCAGTTTTCGCGAAATTGTGAAAAATCTATTTATAATTTACAAGAGTTACTCTAAATAAAAGGTTCTCCATTTACGAAAAATTGAGAAAAATCTATTCATAATTTTATGGAAATTGGGTTCTATTTTTGCGATTTCGTGAAAAATTACTAAAAGAAAAACTTCTTGTCAACATTTTTTTATAATTTTATTCCTTTTTTGTGAAAAATCTACTCATTTTCTGCATCTATTATTAACTGTAGAATGGGTTTCTTTCTGTCAGGGTATTGCTTTTGTGAATATGAAAAACCTAAAAAAAATCACGTCTTTTTACGACTTATTAGTTTTAAAATTATGTATCAACCCTTTGACTACTAACTGCTATAAGTTGACACAGGGAACTGAATACTTGACTGCGCATTATTGATTTTGTCGGCAGGGTATTAAGATATTAGAATATAGTACCACAATCCAAATACTATTACTACTTTATCCACTCTAAAACTGATTTAAACACTTCATATTTTCAATATACATTGTTTATTCACCTATCAAAGTCTTTAAACGCCATGATTTGATTGTTATAATGTATTTGAATATTAGACATGTCTGGTATTTAGATATTTTTTTCTCGTGACTAAACAACGAGATTTGAAATTTCTGCGATTGTTGGGTAAAAACAAGATACAAGAGAAACTAATTTCGAACATCACTTGAGACAGCAGAAACCCTCACCGAACACGCACCTACGTCCAGTCTACATCAGCGGTTCCCAAATAGGGTTCCGTGAAAGGGTTCCATGAGTTAGGAATTTTTTTTTAGCCAGTTATGATTTTCGAAACCTGTAATTAAATTTACATTTAATTGACAATCCATTCATTATTTATTTCCATTATTTTTATGAAATTATTTTATGTCAATGCTTGTGAAAGAAATTTCAAAGCAATGCTTTTCTTAATTAAAACCTAATGAGTTATGAAAAGAATATATTTGAGGAGGCCCCTTTGAAAAATTATGATCAGAATTCAGCTCTTGAAAATCCGATCATTAGAACAAAAGTTACACGGGGGATATCCTTTTTATTTCACGCATTGTACCCATCTTCTTATCAACAACTTCGTGGAGAGGCTTTTACTATTAAAGCAAATTTAGCAAAATTCTGCATCCTTTAGTTTACAATTCACGACCACTATAAAATCTTATGAAGGTAGCTGAAAATTAAGCACCTTTGATGTCAGCCAATAAAAAGAAGTATTCATTAAAAATCAAAGCTAGATTGGTACATGAAAATAAATAAAAATTACTGTACACCATACATTTTTTGAGTTTTGCAAAATTTAAATGACTTTGAGTTTTCAGTTTTGAAAAGGTAATATTAAAATGAGACATCCAGTGCTTAAAAATTTGAAGTCCCATTATACAGGAATCCTTTCCTTTTTAGGGTTATAGTTGAAAGCCGACGAACTAAATTTCTATTTCCCAGTGAAAGGGTTTTCAGAAGCAATGTTTACCCTTATAAAAAAAAAATCAGCCCCCATACTCCATTCTTATGAGCTTTACAATGGAAGCAGTTCTTTTGTCAATAACACAACTCACTTTCACTATAGAAGCATTGCTTTGAAGAAAAAAGAATTCACTTTTGGTTTGGTATTCCCTGAAACCAGGGGGGAAAGTGAATATTTAGAGGGAAGATCTCAAACTGAATAATTTTAATATTAAAGTCAAAACAAATGTTTTTACAAATAACTTTTGTGCCTTTATAACTGTCGAATATGTAATTTAAAACGCTTTCTCTATAGAAAAAATTATGGAACAAAAATTTAAAATTCTCAGCTTTCGTTAGACCAAACGATTCTCAATTTTTTTCGCCTAAGGAACACTAATCGACGTTCTTTTGGCGCAATTCTGGCATTACATTAAAAAAATTCATCAGCAGCTGCAAATATTAAAAAAAAGAAGAAAAACCAGAAGAATAAAACGGATAATTTTGAAATATAATGAAATATTTTGCATGAATTTGCTCTTGGTGAATTCATATGCTGAAAATGAATATAATAAAAATAAGTTATCATAAAAGAACTGTTGCAATATTTACAAGAACTGTAAATCATTTTATTTAGTATTATTGTAAAGCTCGATGCGAAATATTTATCCTTTTCATAATTTATTCAATAGATTGTTATTTAAAAAAATATATTTAATAAGTTTATGTAAGCAGCCAAAATATTTAATAAATTATGGTTTATTGATCGGATAAAAATATTATTGGTTAAAAAAAATTCCTACTCTCGAAACCTCTGTCATCCTTCCATGGAACCCTAGAGCTCAGTGGAACTTCTTTATGGTACCCTGTGTTTGACACTCTTTTAGAGAATGTTTTTGATATCAAGTTAAAATCCAGCCCAATAAGTGTTTTCACAAATAACTTTGCTTTCATAAACTTCAAATATGCATTTTAAAATGATTACATTTAAACCTTTGCATTGAGCAATTAAAAATTCGTTATTCGAAACATTTGAGGAGAAATTTGTCTTACGTTATTAAAGTTGAATCAAACAGATTAAAAGTTTTCACTACTAGAATATAAACAAACCTGCATAAATATCAAACCCGCATTCCAAAATACATTATTTTTTTAAACTTTTTATTCAACGAAATTCTATATGAAGTTATTAATTAGCATTTTTTGGAGATCATTTGAGGGATATTTTTCTTATAATATTAAGTTAAAAAATTAAACTGCTTGAATATTTTCTCAAAACATTTTATACTGTTAAGAATTCTAAAAAATCCACTAGCAGCAATTGTTTGAATATCGTAATGTATTTATTCAATTGAAATACAAATCAAATAAATTAATCTCTATCCCCTTTTAAATAAGAAAGCGCAGGTTATGTACGGCTTTTTAAGTTCGATATTATACTAAATACTTAAATAGATTTTAAAGAAGTTAACTATCAAGAGATTATAATAATCAATCAATTTCCAATTAGTTAATAAAATTTCTTAGCTGAATTCCAGTAAAATAATAAAGTTTGATCGCACGAGATATAATTCAAAAGATCCTAATTTAAATTCATTATTAGAATTTTGTTATAAAATGCTGTTTAATACAAACTTTATTTACTTCTTAACCTTAAAAAATTCTGTGTTACATACATAATCAAAAGCCACATAATATATCTTAATATAAAAATACAAATCTTTTTCAAACAATTGAATTCTTGACAATCAATATAGTTCACAAAACATAATAATGGCTATTTTAATAAAATTTAAATTCTTAACATTAAGTTTTGTGACAGATCTCCAATCAAAAACAAATTGAATTTTTGTTGATACCGATATGCAAATCTTGCAAAACATACGGATTCTTTATAATCAGATAGAATAAATTCTTCGGCACGCAAATTAAATTTTGAAAAGTTCTATGAGTGGTATGCAATCAAAATCGAACAGAATCTTTGTCGATACAGGCTTATAGATCTTGTAATCTATATCTACAGTATATATAAATATATAAATTCTTTACACATATAGTTCTCAAAATATAATCAGACTATGTAAAAAATTTAGTTCTTAACATCAACATATAAGACGGTTATGCAATTAACAAACTAAATTATTGCCGATATAAATCTTGTTTTATGCCAGAACTTTTAACTAAGCACATTAATCGCGATTTTCAAGAATCTTGAAACAATGATTAAGTTTTCGAAATAGTAAATACAGATTGATGAATTGGCAGTTAGATGAATTAGTAAACAAATTTTTACCCGCAAAATTTCGTTCTCAACATCAAAATGTTCTAAGACGGATATGCAATCAAAGGCGAACGAAATCATAATAGATATAAATCTTGTTTTATGGCTAAATTATTAAACAGGCACATTAATCCACGATTTTCAAAAAATATTGGAGCAATGAGCTAAGTTTTCGAAATAATAAGCACAACTTCGATGAAATAGTAAACAAATAAATTCTTACCCAAAAATGGCATCTTTATCCCTTTTTCCGACATCAGGTGTAGATCCCATGACATGATTAGCAATAGACACATGATTGGCATGATAAACACCATGGTGGTTCATAAGATTTTGCCTATGGGGGTCATATAGACCGCCGGCCGATCCATCCCCATGGCCGTAATGAGGCATCCCATCTTCAGGATATTGCATGTCGACAACGTTACTCTTCCAACCACGTGTTGGATCTGACGATCAAAACAACACGAGAAAATTTCGCGCCCCTCGCTCAGCCGGTTTCCTGTAGGGGGCGCTTTTATCCCCACCCCTTTCTTTGCACCCACCGTCAACTTGAACGGAATGATAAATAATCGTGGAATGCTTGGCGAGGGTTGGCGAAAATCACAAACTTTCTTTCCTGCATAATTTGTTCGCTTTTGGGAAGTTGGGAGTCCTATTTATGGGGTGCATTTTGTCCCCGAGGTCATTATTAGCGGCAGTGGCGTGCAGAAAGGGGGTGAAGGGGTAGCGGCAACCAGCTGAAGGAGGCATCAATTTGATCTTTAAAGGCAATAAAACTTAAAACGTATTACCATTATTTTTATTATGAAATCGAATTTTTTAACAGATGACAATTTAGAATAATATAAAAAAATCTAGAGAATAAACAATAATTTTCAAATATATCATTTAAGTTTTAGATAAGGTGAATTTCTTTACAATTTAGAATTTTGGTATGCTTTTACCTAAATAGGAGTTTTAAAATATGAATTTGCCATCGTTGAAAAGTCGACCCCCATTCCCGGTTACCTATGTTCAACTCCGTAGCCGTATGATTTTGAACACAATCCAGAAGACAAGGGAACTCCTGGATCAAGGATCAAATATTGGAAGAAATTTGCCTTCGTGGACAACTTTTTGATGGAACTAACCCGCATTTTCGTTACATAGAAAGGAAGACCATGAAAAGCTCCTGCGGTTAGCCCGACAACGAGAGGACTTTAACCCATGATCCGTCTACTAACGAGAATATTTTACGTCAGTACTGTGATCGGTGTGAGCCGGGTGCGGAATTCGTATCGAAAAGCCATCGCTGGGATTCGAAGCCGGGCCATCTCATTGGGATGCAAGTGCTCTATTCGCTAAACAACCACGGCTCAAAATTTTCGTCAGCTGTTTTTTTTGTTTTTGTTTTTTTTTTTGTCCTTTATATCTTTAACACCACTGATTTGCTGGGCTTTAAGTTCTTATGGGATCTTTAAGTTCGTATAAAATTCATATTTATGGATAAAATCGTAAAAATTTTTTATTATTTCTCAATTGTGTTTAGTTTCATTATTTGAACATTGACATTTAAAATATATCAATACAATACATTAAAATACATCTTACCGACCGGGCATCCATCTTGCAGCAGCCACCATGTAAAAGGGAGGGGGGGGGGGCAACAATAACCGNAAAGTCTCTTATGGGGGGGCAACAATAACCGATTTGTTGTTATTAATTGTGTGGTGGTTTTACATTAAATTTATTGAATCAGTCGTGCACTANTAAAATTCATATTTATGGATAAAATCGCAAAATTTTTTTATTATTTCTCAATTGTGTTTAGTTTCATTATTTGAACATTGACATTTAAAATATATCAATACAATACATTAAAATACATCTTACCGACCGGGCATTCATCTTGTAGCAGCCACCATGTAAAAGGGAGGGGGGGGGGCAACAATAAACGATTTGTTGTTATTAATTGTGTGGTGGTTTTACATTAAATTTATTGAATCAGTTGTGCACTAACCGCTTCAAAAAAAAGGGTAGAAACCTGATCAGATACAAAATTAAATAACATTCTCCAAATGCTCTACATTTTGATTAGACTGATATTTCGATGATAATTTTAGACGAGCAGAATTTAGATATTTTAGCATAATTTTATTCGAATTTTAATATTAAATTTTATATGAACTTCTCTAAATTCTAGTATATCGTCTAGTTCTTTAACTTCTAAAACTACATCCAAACTTCCAATTTACAATTTGTATGCTCGTGTAGGTAAGTTACTTTCGGTCACAAACCTGCTATTTTCTGTGTGAAAGTTATGATGTATTTTATTTATTCACATAAATATGTTGATTTGTGTGCTCAGTAAAGAATGACAGCTTATAGAATTTGTGAAGTTGAAGAACAAGAAATATGTCTAATTAGAGAAAGAAATCACAAAAATACATCCAGGGTTGCAACGAATGTTTGGTAAAAAAGCAATACCCTTCGGTTACGAAGGCTCCTCGAAACTTTGAAGAGTGCTGGATAAGAATCCATTTTTTAGGGATTTAGAGCATTCGCCTTCCAATGAGGTGACCTAGGTTCGATTCCCACCGGCGGCTGATTGACGAATTCTGCTCCCAGAACCACAGTGCTGACTGAAAATAAACTCCTTGGTAGATGGATCATGGGTAGGGCTGCAAGTTTGTGGTGGGAAAAAAGACCCGAAATTTGTGGGAAATTTTGAAAATTACGCAGATTCTTAACATAAAAAAAATTCACTATATAAATGACACAAAAGACAGAAATTGCACAAATAATGAAAAAAAAAAAGCTTAGAAAATACACAACAAAAGTATTTATTTTAATTTCAAGCAATATTAATATTTTTATTTAAATGAACCAGAATTTTGGTACAAAAGTATTGTACATCATCAGATTATTCTCATTTATGCTTCGTCTTTCATCACTTAATACATTTTTATACTTAGAAAACGATCTTTCTGCTTCCACGCTGTTTGCAGGCACGGACAAACATCGAATTGCCATTTTGGATAGCGTTCGGTTTTTGATTTCCAAAACTCGATCAATTTTCCTTCATCAACGCTCAATTCCTTGACAGTTGCTTTGTAAGAAGTAATTGCTGTGAGAACTCAAACATTCTACATTCAAACTACTAGTTACAAAAGCCTTATGTCCCTCTCATCTAAGAAACCGATCCCTATTTAAGAAATCACAAGAAGCCGCCCAAGAAATATTGCCTGGATATGTAGAAAGGCAGTAGAAATTTCACTGCCCATTGCAATAGCCTGTGTTACAGTTTTTCTGTCAAAGATTTGATTTATAACATTTTCCTTCTTTTATGATTCCAATTTCTTTAGTTTTGACTTCAGGAAGGTAATCCTATCAGTCTATTATCCTCCGGAAGGATCCTATCAGTCTATTATCCTCAGGACTTCAGGAAGGTAATCCTATCAGTCTATTATCCTCCCTTAGTGTAGAAAGACCACCTTACGTGACAATATCGTGATTATCTCTTATTTCTGAACTATTTTCTTGCCATTTTGCAATGGATTCACTCCCCTAAATATCTAATCCATTTTACATGTTCAATTTAAGGCTTTAGGAAAGTAAAAAATTCTGTTAAATAAAAATATTAAATTAAAAATGAAAAAAAAATTCATATTTTAAGCCATTTTCGCACAAATCAAAACATATTTAGAAATTCGCTAATTTTAGGAAAAAAGAGGATAATTTCGCTGAATTCATCACAGAAATTCACGCCGTGACAGACTTGCAGTCCTAATCATGGGTTAGAATCCCCTTGTCGTCGGACTAACCGCTGGAAGTTTTCTTGATTTTGTTCTCCATATATCGCTAATGCGAGTTAGTATTATCACATTTTAGTTTCGGACTTCCTAAATATTGGACGGGAATTAGCAACAACAGTTTTATCAACAAAAAAAAAAAAAAATCCTCCACGAAGGCTAATTTGTCCCAATGCTTGATTTAGAATTTCTTTTGTCTTCTGGGTTGGGTTAAAAATTACTAGGCTGTGGAGATGAGCATTAATAGTCGTAAACCGAGAATTGGATCAGTCGTTTTCCAAACGAGTAACAAATTGGAAATGTAGCGAGAGACAATCTGGAATTTTTTAATTGATTTTTCATGACAAAATTACGTTAATATAATTCTACAATCAACATTTTAATTGGCCGGTCAAAAAACATGGAGGCTAGTTACTAAAACAAATTTTTTTTCAAAATTTTAGTTTTATAAAATACGTCATCATCATCATAGTCATCGTTATAGTTTATTAAGATATTCAATCTGTCATTTCGGTGCTTTTTTAATAGAAAAAATTGTTAAGAGAGAATATGGGGAAAAAATGTGCTTTGATGCGATAAAAAACAATTATTCCAAATTTGTATTCTTGAAGTACGAGATACTTTCGTGAATTGCTAACTGGTAATAGTTGCTAGATCTGAGGAATAAGATAGATGGGGCTACTATTGGAATTTCGATTCGTGCAGTTTTGACAATGTAACTATTGATTTATGGAAAGTTCAAGCGGGAAGAACATATATAGGGCCATTTCTTCTTAATTTTAATCCTTCCAATAATGTTGCGTAATATTCGGTATTATTGATTATACTATTTTCTAGGCAGTCAATGAATATGATGTAATGCGAGATTCTCAATAAATTTTTGCCGGAACTTTCTTGACTCATATATTCAGGGCTTGATTATCGCCTAGGCCCAATAGGCACGTTCCTAGTGCCCAAACTTTCTGGGGGGCCTCAAAAATTAATAAAAATTCCATAATATTACTCTAAAAAAAAATACTGAAAGAAACAGTTTTTCTCATAAAAGGCACTTTTCTATTTCAAATTTCCTTTATATTGTGATAAACCAAGCTCGTGTAAACATTGCACTTAATCAAATTCCAAAGTACAACTAAATTTTAATTGGTGCAATTTTTACTCCAACAGCTTAAACAAATGCAACGAGAATGCACATTCGCAAAGTCTCTTATTAATGATTAGTGTTCACAAGAACTAAAAGCTTATTCGTAACAAATATGTAAAGCTGTAGATGGAAGGCTACAATCTTTAAAATAATTCAGCTAATCAGTGACTTTTAGTAAAAATCACTGATTTCACTTGTATGTCGTCATCAAACTGTTTTTATTTTCACAAAATTTTATATTTTGCTTTAATATTTAGATGCATAAGCTTTATCTTAGAAAAATAATCTTCGATTGTCTGCTTTCAAAATTTTTTAGAATGTTTCTCTTGAATTATGCAGTTCCATAGATTCTTTTTATTGTTAGGACTATTCTTCAGAAATTTAATTTCAAAATATTTTGTTAGGGGCCCGGGAATTTTGGGGGCCTTAGGCCTGAATTTGTCTTGATCGGTCCGTGCATATATTAATAGAGGTTTTCATCCCTTGCTTTTGAGCCTTTCAACTTGCATCGATTTCGTTTTTGAGTGAAGTGGTCAATCTTGTCGTCTCACCCAGTGTCACATACTGATGTGGAGTCCAGTGTATTCTACGAAAAAAATTTCAGACGGGCCATCATAATCGTTCAGCACCATCAATGATCATATTGTTACGTTTAAGGTCATCAAACCACTGGTAAACACATTTTTTCGACGAAATGAACTCGCTATAACGCT